GAACAAAGTTTTATGCCAGCATGCTTCAGGCCAAATATCATAACTTTAGGTCTCTTGGTGATCTACACGATATTGTTAAAATACCACCCTTTATTTGTTCATTTATGTGCACATTGCGATGATTATCTGCTTCCTTAAATGTATAAAAGTGATTGTAAGCCTTTGTTTTTGTTTCACAATTATAACTAATACTATTATCCATATGTTGTAAATCATATAAGACGCTATATAAATATTGTATATTATTATTATTATTATTGTTAGAATGTTTTAATACGTCTGACAATGCGACATCGACGACAAGAACAAAGCAAGTGAACGAAGTAGTGACCCTTTGTTCCAGAAAGCTACTGGCCCAATGACATCACCCTAAGGTGATGTTGGGGCTTTGATTGTAAGGTGTTGTTGCTTCTTCGATTGTAAGGTGTTGTTGGGGTTTTGATTGTAAGGTGATGTTGGGGCTTTGATTGTAAGGTGATGATGGGGCTTTGATTGTAAGGTGTTGTTGCTTCTTCGATTGTAAGGTGATGTTGGGGTTTTGATAGTAAGGTGATGTTGGGGCTTTGATTGTAAGGTGACGTTGGGGCTTTGATTGCAAGGTGATGTTGGGACTTTGATTGTAAGGTGATGTCTGGGCTTTGATTGTAAGGTGATGTTGGGCCTTTGATTGTAAGGTGATGTTGAGGCTTGGATTGTAAGGTGATGTTGGGGATTTGATTGTAAGGTGATGATGGGGCTTTGATTGTAAGGTGATGTTGGGGTATTGATTTTAAGGTGATGTTGCGGTTGGATTATAAGGTGATGTTGGGGTTTTGATTGTAAGGTGATGTTGCGGTTTTGATTGTAAGGTGATGTTGGGGTTTTGATTGTAAGGTGATGTTGGGGCTTTGATTGTAAGGTGATGTTGTGTCTTTGATTGTAAGGTGATGTTGGGGTTTTGATTGTAAGGTGATGTTGGGGTTTTGCTTGTAAGGAGATGTTGGTGATTTGATTGTAAGGTGATGTTTGGGCTTTGATTGTAAGGTGATGTTGGGGTTTTGATTGTAAGGTGATGTTGGGGTTTTGCTTGTAAGGAGATGTTGGGGATTTGATTGTAAGGTGATGTTGGGGCTTTGATTGTAAAGTGATGTTGTGTCTTTGATTTTAAGGTGATGTTGGGGCTTTGATTGTAAGGAGATGTTGTGACTTTGATTGTAAGGGGATGTTGGGGTTTTGCTTGTAAGGAGATGTTGGGGCTTTGATTGTAAGGTGATGTTGTGTCTTTGATTGTAAGGTGATGTTGGGGTTTTGATTGTAAGGTGATCTTGGGGCTTTGATTTTAAGGTGATGTTGGGGCTTTGATTGTAAAGTGATGTTGCGGTTTTGATTGTAAGGTGATGTTGGGGCTTTGATTGTAAGGTGATGTTTGGGCTTTGATTGTAAGGTGATGTTGGGGCTTTGATTGTAAGGTGATGTTGGGGTTTTGATTGTAAGGTGATGTTGGGGCTTTGATTGTAAGGTGATGTTGTGTCTTTGATTGTAAGGTGATGTTGGGGTTTTGATTGTAAGGTGATGTTGGGGTTTTGCTTGTAGGGAGATGTTGGTTATTTGATTGTAAGGTGATGTTTGCNGATGTCGTGTGTCTGTTTGTAAGGTGATGTTGTGTGTTTGGTTGTAAGGTGATGTTGGGGCTTTGATTGTAAGGTGATGTTGGGGTTTTGATTATAAGGTGATGTTGGGGTTTTGATTATAAGGTGATGTTGGGGCTTTGATTATAAGGTGATGTTGGGGCTTTGATTGTAAGGTGATGTTGGGGCTTTGATTGTAAGGTGATGTTGGGGCTTTGATTGTAAGGTGATGTTGGCGTTTTGATTATAAGGTGATGTTGGGGTTTTGATTATAAGGTGATGCTGGGGTTTTGATTGTAAGGTGATGTTGGGGTTTGGATTATAAGGTGATGTTGTCTATTTGTAGGGTGATGCTGGGGTTTTGATTGTATGGTGATGTTGGGGTTTTGATTGTAAGGTGATGTTGGAGTTTTGAGTATAAAGTGATGTTGGGGCTTTGATTGTAAGGTGATGTTGGGGTTTTGATTGTAAGGTGATGTTGGGGCTTTGATTGTAAGGTGATGTTGGGGTTTTGATTGTAAGGTGATGTTGGGGTTTTGATTGTAAGGTGATGTTGGGGTTTTGATTGTAAGGTGATGTTGGGGCTTTGATTGTAAGGTGATGTTGGGGTTTTGATTGTAAGGTGATGTTGGGGCTTTGATTGTAAGGTGATGTTGGGGTTTTGATTGTAAGGTGATGTTGGGGCTTTGATTGTAAGGTGATGTTGGGGTTTTGATTGTAAGGTGATGTTGGGGCTTTGATTGTAAGGTGATGTTGGGGTTTTGATTGTAAGGTGATGTTGGGGCTTTGATTGTAAGGTGATGTTGGGGCTTTGATTGTAAGGTGATGTTGGGGCTTTGATTGTAAGGTGATGTTGGGGTTTTGATTGTAAGGTGATGTTGGGGTTTTGATTGTAAGGTGATGTTGGGGTTTTGATTGTAAGGTGATGTTGGGGCTTTGATTGTAAGGTGATGTTGGGGCTTTGATTGTAAGGTGATGTTGGGGTTTTGATTGTAAGGTGATGTTGGGGTTTTGATTGTAAGGTGATGTTGGGGCTTTGATTGTAAGGTGATGTTGGGGTTTTGATTGTAAGGTGATGTTGGGGCTTTGATTGTAAGGTGATGTTGGGGCTTTGATTGTAAGGTGATGTTGGGGTTTTGATTGTAAGGTGATGTTGGGGTTTTGATTGTAAGGTGATGTTGGGGCTTTGATTGTAAGGTGATGTTGGGGCTTTGATTGTAAGGTGATGTTGGGGCTTTGATTGTAAGGTGATGTTGGGGTTTTGATTGTAAGGTGATGTTGGGGTTTTGATTGTAAGGTGATGTTGGGGTTTTGATTGTAAGGTGATGTTGGGGCTTTGATTGTAAGGTGATGTTGGGGCTTTGATTGTAAGGTGATGTTGGGGTTTTGATTGTAAGGTGATGTTGGGGTTTTGATTGTAAGGTGATGTTGGGGCTTTGATTGTAAGGTGATGTTGGGGCTTTGATTGTAAGGTGATGTTGGGGTTTTGATTGTAAGGTGATGTTGGGGTTTTGATTGTAAGGTGATGTTGGGGCTTTGATTGTAAGGTGATGTTGGGGCTTTGATTGTAAGGTGATGTTGGGGTTTTGATTGTAAGGTGATGTTGGGGTTTTGATTGTAAGGTGATGTTGGGGCTTTGATTGTAAGGTGATGTTGGGGCTTTGATTGTAAGGTGATGTTGGGGTTTTGATTGTAAGGTGATGTTGGGGCTTTGATTGTAAGGTGATGTTGGGGCTTTGATTGTAAGGTGATGTTGGGGCTTTGATTGTAAGGTGATGTTGGGGTTTTGATTGTAAGGTGATGTTGGGGTTTTGATTGTAAGGTGATGTTGGGGCTTTGATTGTAAGGTGATGTTGGGGCTTTGATTGTAAGGTGATGTTGGGGCTTTGATTGTAAGGTGATGTTGGGGTTTTGATTGTAAGGTGATGTTGGGGCTTTGATTGTAAGGTGATGTTGGGGCTTTGATTGTAAGGTGATGTTGGGGCTTTGATTGTAAGGTGATGTTGGGGTTTTGATTGTAAGGTGATGTTGGGGCTTTGATTGTAAGGTGATGTTGGGGCTTTGATTGTAAGGTGATGTTGGGGCTTTGATTGTAAGGTGATGTTGGGGTTTTGATTGTAAGGTGATGTTGGGGTTTTGATTGTAAGGTGATGTTGGGGCTTTGATTGTAAGGTGATGTTGGGGCTTTGATTGTAAGGTGATGTTGGGGTTTTGATTGTAAGGTGATGTTGGGGTTTTGATTGTAAGGTGATGTTGGGGCTTTGATTGTAAGGTGATGTTGGGGCTTTGATTATAAGGTGATGTTGGGGCTTTGATTGTAAGGTGATGTTGGGGCTTTGATTGTAAGGTGATGTTGGGGCTTTGATTATAAGGTGATGTTGGGGCTTTGATTGTAAGTTGATGTTGGGGTTTTGATTATAAGGTGATGTTGGGGTTTTGATTATAAGGTGATGCTGGGGTTTTGATTGTAAGGTGATGTTGGGGTTTGGATTATAAGGTGATGTTGTCTATTTGTAGGGTGATGTTGGGGTTTTGATTATAAGGTGATGCTGGGGTTTTGATTGTATGGTGATGTTGGGGTTTTGATTGTAAGGTGATGTTGGAGTTTTGAGTATAAAGTGATGTTGGGGCTTTGATTGTAAGGTGATGTTGGGGTTTTGATTGTAAGGTGATGTTGGGGCTTTGATTGTAAGGTGATGTTGGGGTTTTGATTGTAAGGTGATGTTGGGGCTTTGATTATAAGGTGATGTTGGGGCTTTGATTGTAAGGTGATGTTGGGGTTTTGATTGTAAGGTGATGTTGGGGCTTTGATTGTAAGGTGATGTTGGGGCTTTGATTGTAAGGTGATGTTGGGGTTTTGATTGTAAGGTGATGTTGGGGTTTTGATTGTAAGGTGATGTTGGGGCTTTGATTGTAAGGTGATGTTGGGGCTTTGATTGTAAGGTGATGTTGGGGTTTTGATTGTAAGGTGATGTTGGGGTTTTGATTGTAAGGTGATTTTGTGTGTTTGGTTGTTAGGTGATGTTGGGGCTTTGATTGTAAGGTGATGTTGGGGTTTTGATTGTAAGGTGATGTTAGGGTTTTGATTGTAAGGTGATGTTGGGGTTTTGATTGTAAGGTGATGTTGGGGCTTCGATTGTAAGGTAATGTTGGGGTTTTGATTATAAGGTGATGTTGGGGTTTTGATTGTAAGGTGATGTTGGGGTTTTGAGACAGGCAAGTTAAAAGTGTATACGTATGCACGTGACACTATTAACGTGTTTGTTATTCAGATAACGTAATAGATGTGTTTCCATATATGAGGTGTGACTGTAAGTTTTGTGTATGAGCATAAGTAGAGCAAACAACATAGCCAGGTACGTTATAATTAACAACAGCTGGTACAAGACCTACCCTCTTTTCCATCCTTTTCCTTCCGGTTAGTTTGCGCATGTCCCTCATCCGGAAACTCGTCCACCTGATAAGTTGACCTTCGACCTGTCAATATCCCGCCTAGCAGGAGACTTCGGATGTTACCACAGTACGACGTAAGCCGATCAGTCAACTTGGTCCTGTAAAATGGAAGAACGAAACGTAAATTAACAACTCACTGGTGAATAGATACAATGGTCACCAAAGTCACAATATTGACACGCTTAAGTTACAACATCGTATTACAGGCGGATACAGGCTCATTTGTAGACACAGCATTGCTTTTCAAACAAATGAAGTCGAGCACCAAGAACATACCGTTGCTCCAAATACATGCTCCAAGATAGAGCATAAGAAACAACTTGCTCACAAAAACACAACACCGCCCAACAACTAAACAACCTTACAAACAACTTCCATTTAAAGAAGCAACATCACGTACCTTACAATCCAACCCCAACATCACCTTACAATCCAACCCCAACATCACCTTACAATCCAATCCCAACATCACCTTACAATCAAACCCCAACATCACCTTACAATCAAACCCCAACATCACCTTATAATCAAACCCCAACATCACTTTACAATCAAAGCCCCAACATCACCTTACAATCAAAACCCCAACATCACCTTACAATCAAAGCCCCAACATCATCTTACAATCAAAGCCCCAACATCACCTAACAACCAAACACACAAAATCACCTTACAATCAAAACCCTAACATCACCTTACAATCAAAACCCCAACATCACCTTACGATCAAAGCCCCAACATCACCTAACAACCAAACACACAAAATCACCTTACAATCAAAACCCCAACATCACCTTACAATCAAAACCCCAACATCATCTTCGATCAAAACCCCAACATCACCTTACAATCAAAACCCCAACATCACCTTGCAATCAAAGCCCAAACATCACTTAACAACCAAACACACAAAATCACCTTACAATCAAAACCCCAACATCACCTTACAATCAAAGCCCCCACATCACATTACAAGCAAAACCCCAACATCATCTTCGATCAAAACCCCAACATCACCTTACAATCAAAACCCCAACATCACCTTACAATCAAAGCCCCAACATCACCTTACAATCAAAACCCCAACATCACCTTACAATCAAAGCCCCAACATCACTTTATACTCAAAACTCCAACATCACCTTACAATCAAAACCCCAACATCACCATACAATCAAAACCCCAGCATCACCTTACAAATAGACAACATCACCTTATAATCCAAACCCCAACATCACCTTACAATCAAAACCCCAGCATCACCTTATAATCAAAGCCCCAACATCACCTTATAATCAAAACCCCAACATCACCTTACACTCAAAGCCCCAACATCCCCTTACAACCAAACACTCAACATCACCTTACAATCAAGACCCCAACATCACCATATAATCAAAACCCCAACATTACCTTACAATCGAAGCCCCAACATCACTTTATACTCAAAACTCCAACATCACCTTACAATCAAAGCCCCAACATCACCTTACAACCAAACACACAACATCACCTTACAAACAGACACACGACATCACCTTACAACCAAACACACAACATCACCTTACACACAGACAACATTGCTTACAAGTACACCACATTACCTTACAACCAAACACACAACATCAACTCACAAACAGACACACAACATCACCTTACAACCAAACACTCAACATCACCTTACACACAGACAACATTGCTTACAAGGACATCACAATACTTTACAACCAAACAAATAGCATCGCCTTAAAAATAGACAACATCGCCTTACAAACAGACAACACAACCTTACAAACAGACAACATTACTTACAAGGACATCAAGTTACCTTACAACCAAACACACAACATCACCTTACAAACAGACATAATGGCCTTACAAACAAAAAACATCGTCTTACACACAGACAACACCACCTTACAAACAGACAACATCGCCTTACAAACAGACAACATCACCTTAAAAACAGACAACATCACCTAACAAACAAAATACATCTTCTTACAAATGGACAACATTACTATAAGGACACCAAATCACCTTACAAACAAACAAATTGTTTACAAGTACACCACATATCCTAACAACCAAACACACATCACCTTACAAACAGACAACATCGCCTTACAAACAGACAACATCGCCTTACAAACAGACAACATCGCCTTACAAACAGACATCATCGCCTTACAAACAAACATCATCACCTAAAAACAGACATGATAGCCTTACAAACAGACATCATCGCCTTACAAACAGACATCATCGCCTTACAAACAGACATCATCACCTTATAAACAGACATCATCACCTTATAAACAGACATCATCACCTTACAAGCAGACATGATCGCCTTACAAACAGACATCATCGCTTTAAAAACAGACATCATCGCCTTACAAACAGACATCATCGCCTTAAAAACAGACATCATCGGCTTACAAACAGACATCATCGCCTTACAAACAGACATCGTCGCCTTACAAACAGACATCATCACCTTATAAACAGACATCATCACCTTACAAACAGACATGATCGCCTTACAAACAGACATCGCCTTACAAACAGACATCGTCGCCTTACAAACAAACAAAGTCACCTTACAAACAGACATCATCGCCTTACAAACAGACATCATCACCTTATAAACAGACATCGCCTTACAAACAGACATCGTCGCCTTACAAACAAAAAAAGTCACCTTACAAACAGACATCATCGCCTTAAAACCAGACATCATCGCCTTACAAACAGACACCATCGCCTTACAAACAGACATCGTCGCCTTACAAACAGACGTCATCACCTTATAAACAGACATCATCCCCTTACAACCAGACATGATCGCCTTACAAACACACATCGCCTTACAAACAGACATCATCACCTTATAGACAGACATCATCACCTTACAAACAGACATCATCGCCTTACAAAAAGACATCATTACCTTATAAACAGACATCGCCTTACAAACAGACAACACCACCTTATAAACAGACATCATCACCTTACAAACAGACATGATCGCCTTACAAACAGACATCATCGCCTTACAAACAGACATCATCGGCTTACAAACACACAACATCACCTTACAAACAGACATCATCGCCTTGCAAACAGACATCGCCTTACAAACAGACATCATCGCCGTACAAACAGACATCATCGCCTTACAAACAGACATCATCGACTTACAAACAGACATCATCACCTTACAAACAGACATCATCGCCTTATAAACAGACATCATCGCCTTCCAAACAGACATCATCGCCTTACAAACAGACATCATCGACTTACAAACAGACATCATCACCTTACAAACAGACATCATCGCCTTCCAAACAGACATCATCGCCTTACAAACAGACATCGCCTTACAAACAGACATGATCGCCTTACAAACAGACATCCCCTTACAAACACACAACATCACCTTACAAACAGACATCATCGCCTTATAAACAGACATCATCGCCTTACAAACAGACATCATCGGCTTACAAACACACAACATCACCTTACAAACAGACATCATCGCCTTATAAACAGACATCATCGCCTTACAAACAGACATCATAGCCTTACAAACACACAACATCACCTTACAAACAGACATCATCGCCTTATAAACAGACATCATCGCCTTACAAACAGACATGATCGCCTTACAAACAGACATCCCCTTACAAACACACAACATCACCTTACAAACAGACATCATCACCTTATAAACAGACATCGCCTTACAAACACACAACATCACCTTACAAACAGACATCATCACCTTATAAACAGACATGATCGCCTTACAAACAGACATCGCCTTACAAACAGACATCATCGCCTTAAGACCATATACGTTTATGTGACTTAGACGCAGCACTATCCTACAGATTGATACATTGCTGTATCATAATGAGTGTATTGGAAACTCACTTTAAATATAAATAGAAACGATAAAACTGCGTTCACAGACATTTATTAAAGGCAGAGCTGTGGTATTCGTTGTATCTTAGCTGTACAAGGATGTCTCGCGCCCGCTGAACTACTAGACGTGTAAATTAGGAATGCACCAGGTCTAAAACGCCTGATGCGATATCTTGAGTCAAGACAGCATATATTTGTACCATATTAACAACAAAATAAAAGTATCTCATCCATTAATTTGCTCTTCCATATATTACTGCGCCAACACGTAGAGTACAAACCTAATGGAGAGTAGATAATTATAGACAAATAACCCTTAAACTCACTCAATAAACTCAATATAGACCAGTGTGTATAATGGAACAGACACCAATTCTCGCTAGCGTGTCGTGTTTTAGGACGAATACAGATAACAGCGCCACCAATAAACACTTAGTTACCGATGAGGGTATAATATCGTCGATTGAGTTCTTGTAATAAGAAGCAATTAGAAGAGCACCACTTCCTCGTCTCTAGCTGTTGACACAATACACTCGCTTCGTGTAAGAGTACATCAAATGCCTAGTGCGTGACAGTAATCCACGCGTATTATATGATGTATATTGTTCAATAATTTCCCGAAAATTCGAGATAATTTCATTTGGTATTCTACGGTACTCATTACAGGCGCGGATTCAGGGGTACTGTACGACATACCTGTGTACGTGTACTATACGACAAACCTGTGTACGTGTACTGTACGACATACCTGTGTACGTGTACTGTACGCCGCACCGGTGTACGTGTACTGTACGACAAACTTGTGTATATGTACTGTACGACACATCGGTGTACGTGTACTGTACGACAAACCTGTGTATGTGTACTATACGACAAACCAGTGTACGTGTACTATACGACAAACCGGTGTACGTTTACTGTACGACATACCTGTGTATATGTACTGTACGACATACCTGTGTATGTGTACTGTACGACATACCTGTGTATGTGTACTGTACGACATACCTGTGTACGTGTACTGTACGACACACCGCGGTACGTGTACTATACGACATACCTGTGTACGTGTACTGTACGACAAACCTGTGTATGTGTACTATACGACAAACCTGTGTACGTGTACTGTACGACAAACCTGTGTATGTGTACTGTACGA